TAAAACCATTTCTGAACAGTTTGGGCTCCATCAGTTCATTGTCAGGAAGATTGTGTGCAAGTGGAGGTAACTCAGCAGAGTTGTTATTCTACCTAGGAGTGGTTGTCCAACAAATATCACTTCAAAGGCGCTTAACATTGAAGGAGGTCACAAAGAACCCCAGGACCATGTCTAAGGCAGTACAGGCCTCTCTGTCACTGCTCTCCATCACATTGCTGCATGGATATGCAAAAAAGGCCTTCTAAAGATATAAAGAGATATAAAGATACATTCTGGTTAATTATAAAGATTAGAAACCTAATTGTGACTGACACTTGTTCATCATCACTAACGGCAAGGACAAAAGACAGACACTAGGGGTCAGCGGTTCATTGTCCTTTTGAATTTGGGCAGACTTGCCCCTGCATTCCCCTGCATGACTAATGCTTTCATTTAACATGTTGTAGTAAGATGTGTTCATCCTGATTTGCACTACTATTATAAATATTATTAATAGTATCTGTGCAAAAAAGAGAATAAGTGTTGACTAGACTTTTAAGATAAAAAAACTACTATTGGTTAGGACTACTGATAATACATGTCCCAGAAAGACAGCCTACATAATATACCTATATGCATAATATATAGCAGTGTGTACTGTGTGTATGCCATGCTAGTGTTCATACAGCAGCAATATTACACTCTGCTTTTTAAAACTGACATTATTTTTTATTATTAAAGGAAAATTTCACGCTGTAATTACTCAGATACTTCCACAGTATAAAAACATCCTCTGACAGGTGTATATGTTGGCCATCATTCTCATACAGTAGGTAGTCATCCATATGCTGACTCCACAGTTGTCCACTGGGTTCACAGATAGACGCCCCCATCAGTTATACAACCCACCCCACCCCACCCACACACACTTTCTATACATATCCAGGAAACCTGTATCCATCCTGATATGAACCTCGCTCAAAAGAGTCGTCACAGATTGTCATTGCCTCTCACAGTCACATTGATGACAAATGAGCAGGCCGCGGTGTTGCCATCTTGACAGGAAAAGCAGTAGCAGGGAAATGAAAGGCAATGGTGTTTATTCCCAGAGCTCTACCTCCTCAGTCGGCCTGTCACTCTTCCCGTGACCCTGAGGGGAGAAACGGAAGGCATCCTGAGCTTCCTTCCTTCCATACCTGTTAAATCATTCATCATCCAGCTGCTTGATTATTTTAAAAAGCTAACAAGGATTTGGTTCTTGAGTATGTTTGTGCGTGTGTGTCTGTATTTGTGAGAGGCAGAGAGAAAGTGAGCAAGAGACAGGCGTAACTGGCGGTGGGATGCACCCTGTGGCTCTTGCCACCCTCATCCCCTCTCACCTCATCCCTCATGCACCCACATCCCCCATCTCTGCAGTACGGCATACTTTTACATCCTATAAATCTTTTAGAGGGGGGGAGGACTCCCTCCTCCGCTCTCTTATCCTACTTCTTCTTCTTTTTGCCTCCATCCTCCTGTCCTTGGCAGGGCTGTGTCTGTTTGTGTGTTTTCATTTAGGTGAAATACAAGTGCAGTTTATGATGTACTTGAATGTGTGTGTGAATGGAAGGCTGTGTGCTAGAAGTTGGGGCAGAGATCCTCTGGGGTTGACTTGTCCAAGTGACAGGAAAGCAGCCAGGAAGTGTGTATGAGCATCTGCGTGTTTCTCTGTATGTGTGCATGTAATGAATCACTGGGTTTTGTGGCAGATGGAAACTGACACTCACCACCTAGCCCTCCCATTTGCCCTCTTGCTTTCAATACATGTCTCCTGATAGTGAACGTTTTCTCAAATATACTATATTCTTTCAGCTACATTACTGGTGCTTTTTGGTTCCAGTGTACTCAGAGATAAGAGACAACAACAGACTCCAAACACAAATCTCACATCTGGAGTCAACACTAAACATCTAGCTTATTTCGTGCATGAATTAACAATGGAAAAAACCCCACACATTTATCCAAGAAGTATTTGAGCAACTAGATGTCTGATTACTTTTGGTCCTCTACACCTGTGCTGTGTATAAAGAGGGTTATAATGCCTAGGTCTATATAGTTCAAACATTATGGATGTAAACGTTCTCAAATTAATGCTGAGAGTTGCCACTTCAGCCTCCCAATTAATGTTTCAGTTCACATAAGCAAATAACAGTTAGCTGAATGTGTAGAGTGACATAACTAGCCTTATTGCTACTGTAAATGTTCCACATTGTCTGTGTGTACTCAGTGTTAAGTTGTATGTCTGGGCTTTAACAGTTTGTCATGCGATGACATATGTCGCTGTTCTTGAGCCAGTTTCAAAACAGACTGCTTGAACTGCTAAACTCTTCCTGATCACAAATAATTCTACATTCAAACCAAGTTCATAACTCTGTTTGTGCTCTAATTAATTTGGTGGCCAGTAGTAAAGGAGATTCTGCTGGAGAAAACGTAAAACCGTGCTGGAGCCAGACATGAAATAGACACAACAATGCTAATCTGTGGTCAGTAAAAGACTTATTTGGGGAATTTATCATTTCAGTTTCCATGTTTAAACTTTATACCATACCTATTACTATGGTGTTTGCAGTTGTCATTAAAACACCTGCCAGTTAGGTAAACAAGTTTTGCACTGGAAAACCAGTGTTCCATGAGGCAGCAACTTTATTCAGCCTTTTGAAATTATTCACCCTTTATTTGTATTTCATAGTAAAAGCTTGATTCCTGAATAACTTAATTATAGGCAGTGGAATCAAGACATTTATAATGAATTTGTTGCCAAAGGCCTACAGTAATTAATTATCATCATATATTCTAAAGTTGATCAGTTGTAACTAGAAAATACAGTCAGGGAAAAAATTATTTGAACCCCAGCTGATTTTGTAAGTTTGCCCACTAACAAAGAAATGCTCAGTCTACAATGTCAATGGTAGGTTTATGTGAACAGTGAGAGACACAACAATAACAAAAAAATCCAGAAAAATGCATTACAAAAAAAGTTATAAAGTAATTTGCATTTTCATGAATGAAATAAGTATTTGATCCCTTTGCAAAACGTGCTTTAGTACTTGGTGGCAAAACCTTTGTTGGCAATCACAGAGGTCAGACGTTTCTTGTAGTTGGCCACAAGGTTTGCACACATCTCAGGGGGGGTTTTGACCCACTCCTCTTTGCAGATCCTCTCCAAGTCATTAATGTTTCGTGGATGATGTTTGGCAACTGGAACCTTCAGCTCCCTCCACAGATTTTCTATGGGATTAAGGTCTGGAGACTGACTAGGCCACTCCATGACCTTAATATGCTTCTTCTTGAGCCAATCCTTTGTTGCCTTGGCCGTGTGTTTTGGATCATTGTCATGCTGGAATACCCAACCACGACCCATTTTCAATGCCCTGACTGAGAGAAGGAGGTTCTCACCTAAGATTTGATGGTACACAGCCCCATCCATCCTCCCTTTGATGCGGTACAATTGTCCTGTCCCTCTTTGGCATCAACTCAACTCGCCGTGTTTGGAGGAGGAGGAATGCTGCCTATGACTCCAAAAACATCGTCCCCACTGTCAAATATGGAGGTGGAAACATTATGCTTTGGGGGTGTTTTTCTGCCAAGGGGACAGGACAATTGCACCGCATCAAAGGGAGGATGGATGGGGCCATGTACCGTCAAATCTTGGGTGAGAACCTCCTTCCCTCAGTCAGGGCATTGAAAATGGGTCGTGGTTGGGTATTCCAGCATGACAATGATCCAAAACACACGGCCAAGGCAACAAAGGATTGGCTCAAGAAGAAGCATATTAAGGTCATGGAGTGGCCTAGTCAGTCTCCAGACCTTAATCCCATAGAAAATCTGTGGAGGGAGCTGAAGGTTCGAGTTGCCAAACATCAGCCACGAAACATTAATGACTTGGAGAGGATCTGCAAAGAGGAGTGGGTCAAAATCCCCCCTGAGATGTGTGCAAACCTTGTGGCCAACTACAAGAAACGTCTGACCTCTGTGATTGCCAACAAAGGTTTTGCCACCAAGTACTAAAGCACGTTTTGCAAAGGGATCAAATACTTATTTCATTCATGAAAATGCAAATTACTTTATAACTTTTTTTGTAATGCATTTTTCTGGATTTTTTTTGTTATTGTTGTGTCTCTCACTGTTCACATAAACCTACCATTGACATTGTAGACTGATCATTTCTTTGTTAGTGGGCAAACTTACAAAATCAGCTGGGGTTCAAATAATTTTTTCCCTGACTGTATATACAAGAGAATAGTCCATCCATCCATCTTCATCCGCTTCATCCGAAACCGGTCGGTTTCAGTAGTTAATAGTTAATAATTTCATGTTAAAATCCAGCTTTGTGGCAGTAGTAGTAGGCTGCACCTTTTAGCTAAAAATATGAATCAGAATCAGAATCAGCTTTATTGGCCAGGTGTGTCGGACACACGAGGAATTTGTCTCTGGTACATCAGCTCTCAATGTGTATGTACATATCCCCATGTAAGGGGCAAGTAAACAGTAAACCAACATAAGGTTGTGTAATATAACAAAATAAGCAGTATAAACAGGCAGTAAGCGATGCAGACAGATGACAGGGCTTTGCATGCCCACCACCAGACCACAGCATGGTGCCACCATGACCCAATGCCACCTGAGCAAACATGCTTTTTTCTGTTTCACCACTAACGTGCTGCTACCTTCTTTCTTCTTCCCTGCTGTCATGACCTTTGCTCATGTCTTTGGAAGGTACTCTACTGCACTTTTCTTCCTCTGTTGCTCTCTCACTCACGCTGTCCCAGTTATTTCTCTGCCCTTCCTTCTCACTTGCTCTTTCACCTGTGAAACTAAAATGGTCTCATCTTTGTTGTTTTTTTTTAGTCTTTGCCTTGCATTTATTCATCTCCCCCATCTCGCTTCATCACCCACTGTCTTTGATATCTTAATGCTCTCTGTTTCCCTGTTCCACTTTTTCTTCTCTCTCTGTCTCTGTGTGTTTTCTTTCTTTCCTGCAGTCTCCTGTGACCTCTCAGACCACCAGGCAGTGTCCTTTGACCCCAGCCAAGATGGTACCGTCTCCCTCTCCCACTCCTTCCAGCCCTGCTCTTCAGACCTCTTCTTCTTCCTCTTCTTCCTCCTCTTCCTCCTGTCCTGCACTCCGCCCAGTGAGATAACCCTCCTTACTCACCAATTTTTTAGTCTTCTGTCTCACATTTTCTTGTTTTAGCATCCATGATGAGTGATACAAAAAAATAGTGTAGTCTGGCAGTGGAGAGGCTACACACTAGGCTGTGAACCAGTTGGGGGAATCTGAGTTGTAGTAAAATGCATGAGACCTGCTTTCTGTACCCCCAGTTTGACCTTAATAATTCCCTTAAAAAAGTAACATATCCAAGGAAAGTATTTCCAGTATGATGGAACATGATGGAAGCATTTTTCAGCAAACATGTTTATATACATGTCTGTAATTATTCATGCTGACTTTCTCATAAATGTATCAGTAGGATGAAATGATCTTACAAGCAAGTTAACTTGCACAGAAATGGGAATAATAACCGATTGCTATGAACGTATAGAGTATATGTGGTTGGCTACACATCATAACATCATGTACTGTGCTGTACTATGACATTACAAGAAATAATATTTTAAATTGAATTCTCCCATTTCTAAGGAGCTAAAGCTCTAGAGGATCAGATGTAGCGTGTCCTATCCAGATGTTGTGTATCATAATTGTATTGTGATCCAGTTGATGTTCATCACCGTTGATTTTTACGCTTGCATTTGAAAATACACAGTATGTGAAGAAACAGTGATTTTTTTGCTAAACAAAAAAACATATCATATTTTATACATCTGTGGTCAGAGAGGAAGGCTTCAGATAGGCTTCAGATTTGAACACCTTCTCCTGCACTTCTCACACAGCTTCGCCTCATACAGTATGTGAACATACATATGATCTTGCCCGCATACATATGCAGCTTGAGTGATCAGACCCTAATGTGTCCTCCGTGCATTTTGGGTGCATTCACACCTGTACTTAGAACTGTCCACTTATGATTGTATTACATAAGATGTATTTTATTGCCAAGTGTGAACAGGCCCTGGGAAATGCTAAGGAGGTAATGAGGGCTTTAGAGTGAGAGACTGCTGATGGCACTTCATCTGTGTGTGTTTTGAATGTGAGATTATTTCTCATCATTCATTCCCTCACATAAGATGATGAAAAAGTAGCTAGTAGGTGGCTAATGTTTGGAATTGTCAGTAACAAATCTTGATGGGAGGGCTGGAGGTTTCCCTGGTCAGCGGTGGTGATTATTAAGAAAAACCTTAATGGCCTCCTGTCTTTCCCAGCCTCTAACTTCTCACCATCTCCCTTACCTCCTCCTTGTCTGTTAGAGGATGCTCACTGAAGTCAGCACACCAGATGTGATAGGAGTGCTGTGGCGCCTGCCTCCTGTTCTCTGTGGCCTTGCTGTGAGCGAGGCGTCACATCCTGTTTATCTCTCTTGCTCTCTTTCTTGTTCTTCCAGAAGGGGCCTGTGGCACCGGCCGTGGCTGTGACGGCTCCACAGCAGAACCCCGTGGTTATGACCCCCCAGGCCCCGGCCCAGACCTCCTCGCAGCCAGTGCAGCCTCCACAGACAGGCATCACCACAGCCCCTGGAGCTCCTGTCGTGTCCCAGGTTCATTCTTACCGCTGCTCTGCCACCTCTCCTCCTCCGCCCACTTTCCACCCTCAAGGAAATGGGCACTGTCACAGCTGCCAGCAGGCTGACTGTGTCACAAGCTCAGCATGTGACCCACAGCCTCACCAACTCACACAGCTGGCCATGGACAGAGTCTCGCACATGCCCACATATGTTCACGCCCATACATTCACACAAGTGCATAGATACCTAAGGACATATAGAGGCAGACATAAAGGCACAGGCACATTCAGAGCGCGGTGGCAAATATTATCTTATTAAAGCTCGGTGAGTGTAAAATAAAAACTTAACATCAACAAGAGGCATATAAATACAGGCTCACATACAGTGCATGCAAACCTGAATACATACATACATCATAATGCACACAGAAATACAGAAGACATGTCCAGATACTCACATCTCAAAATATCCTGGCCAGAGAGCCTTCACTGGGACCACTAGAAGTTTGAGTCGACAGGTCCAAGTAATTCCCTTCTGTAGTATCTTTGTTAAAGTACTGATTAAGCAAATGTAGCACAAATTCAGTAAAGGCTATGTCCTCTTTGTTTATGGTAGTTGGACCCAGCACCATTTTTAACATGGGAATCTGATCCCTAGATTGGCACTCATTCTAGATCAACATAAAAATATAATCCTTTCACTAAATATTGTTGAGCATTTTTGATCCTATAAATTCCGACACTGAGCAATTTGTTAACAGCTGGAGCTGCTGATTTGTAATTTTTTTTGTCTTCTGTCAGGAAATGCAAGAGAATGTGAAGAAGTGTAAGAATTTCCTGGCCACACTTATCAAGCTGGCATCTCACAATTCTCCGTCCCCTGAGACTTCCAAGAATGTCAAAGCTCTGGTTCAGGACCTACTGGTGAGCATCATGGAAGTATTGTGCTTACGTACATGGGAAAGGTTTTGGGCACTGTCATCTGCCATTCTAGATCTTTATCAATTCAGCATTTATCTACAAAGAATTGTGCTAAAAATTGTACTAAAATCTGCCTTTTTGAAAGTCTTGTCTAACCTTTCACTTTGAGTTCTGACATTTGCAAAAGCTGCCATCATCTTGACATATTTTTATCCATACTTTATACTTTTATAAAACAGGAGTTCTGAAACATCTCAGTGACTTGCATTCATCAGATAATCAATTTCAAATCTGACTTTGCCTTCTGCGCTTTGAAATATAAGCTCCAGTTCAGTCAGATTTATCACTTTAATATGTTGTTGTACTGAATCTTTCAAACCTCTAGATGGCAGCATGAAACTTTTTCCAAAACTTGTCTTTCTCTGCCGTGAATTTTCATCTTGCAGATACATAGTTATTATTACTGAGTTGTACCCTGAGGTGCCAGGATGGGAGCTGAGTGGGTCATCTTCAGCTCTGACGATGCTGTGTTCAAGTTAGCAAGGTGTATTTAATTTACTGTTCGGCCTCTTTTGTGAAGTGCTGTTAAAACTTTACCCATCTCCTAACAGGATGCCAAGATTGAACCTGAGGAATTCACCAGCCGGCTGCAGACTGAACTCAAGTCATCTCCGCAGCCTTACCTGGTACCCTTTCTCAAGGTGTGGGTCTTGCTTGTAAAAGTTTGCTAACTTTCTCTCTAAGCTAGCGACATTACCACTAAGACTGCTTCCTAGAAATGGATCCTTGATCCTGACAGCTATGCTAACCTCTTAAATTTGTCTTTTTAGCATAATTTTTAGGTTAATTGTGGCAACCTAACAGTTAATCCTACACCTTCCTCTCATTGTAGTCTTCTTAATGGGGGCCCAATATTGTCTTTTTTCTGGGCTCC